CTGGCTTGCTCCTCAAATGGCCACAACGGCTGGAGCTGGGCTGATCCAATCCAGAGCCAGGAGCTCCTTCTGCAATTTCCTCATGGGTGCAGGGGCCCAAGGACTTGGGCCATCTTCTACTGCTTTCCCAGGCCAGAGCTGGATCAGAAGTGGAGCAGCCAGGACTCGAACTGGCGCCCATATGGGATGCTGGCGCTTCAGGTGGCAGCTTTACCCACTATGCCACAGCACCAGCCCCTCTATTGTTTTTTGTTTTTGTTTTTAAATCAATCGGATTTAGCAAAAGATGGTACTTCAGAGTTCTCCATTGTAACTTCTCCCAGAGACCTTGCCTTGAGTCTGGGGGACAAGTTGTGGACCCTCACTATAAACTCTGATAACTTCACTGGGTTACTGGAATGCCAGAGAGCCATCATTAGGTAACAGAGTACCACCAAATACACGTATTTCTATTACAGCCACTATAATCATCACAGGCTTTTTTTTTTTTTAAGATTTAATTGAAAGTCAGAGTTACACAGAGAGAGGAGAAGCAGAGAAGGAGAGGGGGAGAGAGAGAGAGAGAGAGAGAGAGAGAGAGAGAGAGAGAGAACTCTTCCATCTACTGGTTCACTTCCTAATTGGCTGCAACGGCCAGAGCTGCGCCAATGTGAAGCCAGGAGCTTCTTCCAGGTCTCCCATGTAGGTGCAGGGGCCCAAGGATTTAGGCCATCTTCTACTGCTTTCCCAGGCCACAGCAGAGAGCCGGATCGGAAGTGGAACAGCCGGGTCTTGAACTGGCATCCATATAGGATGCCGGCACTGTATGCAGCAGCTTTATCCATTACGCCACAGTGCCGGTCCCATCCCAGGCTTTCTTGAAACACAGGAAGAGGGTGAGGTTGGTATAGCAGGTTCCAGTCCCTTTAGGTTAGGCAGAGATGCTTCCCAACCTGCCTCCATGAGTCACTATCTCTTCTAGAAAAATCACTTCGTATCTAAGGGTCAGTTTCCCAATTGGCAAATGGAAATAAATTGTGTGCACACCAAGACGTGGCAGGTACTGTTCTAAGTGTTTTAAACATATTAACTTAATTTGTAGACCAATGGCCCAAGGTAGGTACAATGATCTCATTTGAGCAAACGCAGAAATCCAGAAATCGTGGCACAAAGCATGACTTGCAAGGATACAGTTAGTAAGTGGCAGAATCAGGATTGCAACACAGGCAGTGAGGGGTCGCGCCTGTGCCTTAACAAGCACTTTACAAGTCTGTGTGGATTAAATCACGTAATGCGAAGAACTGGCACTGTGGCACAAGGCCAAGCCAGCATCCTGTATCAGAGCACAGGTTCCGGTCCAGGCTACTCTGCTTCTGATCCAGCTCCCTGCCAATGCGCCCAGAGAGCAGCAGCAAATGACCCAAGTATGTGGGCCCATGCCACACACATGGGAGACCTGGATAGAGTTCCAGGCTCTGGCTTCCCCGGTCCAGCCCCAGCTGTTGCAGCTGTTTGGGGAGTGAACTAGGGGATGGAAGATCTCTCTTGCTGTCTCGCCCACTTTCTGGTACCCTTTCAAAACTGCGAAGCTAGGTATCAGCAGCTGGTAGACACTCTCATTTCAAAATGTAAAACATCTTGGTGTGGAAATCAAGAATTTGTTCACAGCCCCTGGTTTTCTGCATGCACTCAGCAGATGTCCTCTCTCAAACACGAAACGCACGGCTGAGAACACTGCGGACACACCGCCTCAGACCTGCGTATTTTCCAGGTCTTTTATTCTGGGATACTTGTACTTTTTAAGTGGAAGCGGAAGTAGTTGATGGTCACCAAGCCCACTTCCGGTGTTGTCAGGAGCCCTTCTAGCCCGGAAGACACCAGGCCGCCCCCTTCCCATACCGCCTTCGTCCTGGCTTGACCCCTTTCCCATAGGCGTCCCGCCCTCGGAGAAGGTCGGTTTTTCGTTGGTGGAGGTTAGGGGGCGGAGCTGCGTCTCTCTAACTTCAACCAATGGGCTCTGTTGTTTCTTCTCACAGCTGTGTGGACTAAGTTCCTCCTCCGGGCCGGCAGAGGGCGAAAGAGCCTGTGACTCGGGGCTAGGGCGTGCGCGGAGTCGGGGGGCAGGTCCGGAAGTGACGTCACACGCCGGAATTCCACGGCCTCCAGGACTCAGGAGTGATGGGCAGGGTTGGCTCTGCCGGCTGGACACCGAGTTGTCTTGTTTGGGCGAGGCGGTAGTTCCGAGAGGCGTTTCTAACCCTGAAACGGGCGCTTCTAGAGGAAGGGGCTCCTCGTGTCCCGTCTGCGAGAGCCTCCCGGCACCAGCGCGCGTCCCACACACGCGCGGAGAGCGGCGCCGGGGCACGGGCTGCGGGGTCGCGTTGTGCGGCGTCCCTGGGGGCGGAGTGTCCGCGTCCCACAGACGGGGAAGCGCAGCCCGGGACGGGCATCCCGCGTACAGGGGCTTGCCAGGGTAGAGCAGATAAGTGGCCGGACGTCGAAGTGGGGTGTCAGCTGACCGAGGAGTGAGTGTTAGGATTTCCTACTACTGCATGGGCCGTGCGTAGACAGCCAGCCAGCCAGCAGGTGCGTTCGGATTTATCCGGCGAGCCTACCCGAGGGTCACCTAGCTGAGTGACGGCAGAAAGCGCCTGCCCGCTAGTGGGTGGGGCTGGGCCTGAACATGCAACCCTGGGGTCACTCGTAGGGCTCTCAGTTCCTGTGTTAACCCCAACTGAGAAAGGGCCAAAATGCTGCCCCCTTCTGGATTCAGGGGTGCCCTCTCCCCAGAGTTAGCAAGACCATAGTCTAAGGGTGGACGGAGGCTTCAGATCCTGCTAGCAAGTAGGAGAGAGGCTCGCTGCCCTTGTGGAGTTAACAGAGGCGCAGGAAGGTAGAACAATCGCAGGACGTTGTGAGCAGAGTTCTCTACAGGATGCTGGCGAAGCCGGGAGAAGCTGCTCTAACCTAGGCGTAGAGCCCCAAGCTGAGACCCAAAAGTTCCTTTGGTCCACCTCTACTGGACAGCTACAAGTATTCCAGGCTCCGCGGACGCAGCTGTCCCTGTCGAATGTACTTCCGTTGTCTTCCCAAAGGGCCTGTCACACTTGTGCTCAGAGCATCTAGGGCTCCCTGCTGCCTGCTGAATCAAGTTCAGCCTCTGTCACTCAAGCTCCTCACGATTGCGTTGTTCCGTGCGTCCCTTGAGGACGCGTGCGGACTTCTGCATCACCGATGTCCACCGCCGGGCATGGCCACAGTTAGCGCTTAATACCTGCCCGAGGAATTCCTTCTCAGTGCCATTTATCGAGCACCTAGTGATGCACTAGGCTCAGCGCGAAGTACTTTATCCCCATTTTTTTGTTTGTTTGATCTCAATAACCCAGAGGGGAAAACACTCAGCAGCCACATTTTACAAACGATTAAACAGATTCAGAAAGGTTATTCATTAGCATATACATCTGCTCTGTTCCGGGTGACAAGGACAGCAGTGAGAAAAATAATAAGGTTGCTGCAGCCGAGGAGCTGCTGTCCCGACTACAGGCAGATGCAACGCAAACATGCCACAGAGGAAGCTGGGCATAGCCGTAGGCGCCGTGAGGATAAAGGCGTGCACGCGGGGGGGGGGGGGGGGACTGCGCTCCAGGAAGGCTCCACCTGAGGAGCCATCTGGGCGGAAGCTGGGCGATGGGAATGAGGCCCCCGATCACCGGGGAGGGCAGTCAGCGCAGGCTCAGCCATGGAGACGGTGTGGTCAGACCTCCCAGAGCCGGCAAAGGAGTGAATGGAAGGGGAGGGCCACGGGAGGTGCTGGGGAGAGGGTGTCCCTCGGGAGGTTCCAGGCAGGACGGCCTGGTGAGGGGTCACTGCCCCTGCATCACTTGGGAGGGGCTCCAAGGACCGGCTGGGATACTGAGTGAAAAGTCCCGAGTAGGCAGATTGGTAGAGCTGGTGAGGGGCTGTGCTCACAGGGGGTGGGGAAAGGGAAAATGCAGACTGCTAGCGGGTGGAGGGTTCCTTCTGGGGCTGACGACCGTGTTCCAGGGTTGACTGGTGATGGTTGCACAGCTCTGGGGAGGTCCCGCCAACACTCTGAAAGGGTGAATGTGGGGGGTGTTTAGCCTAGCAGTGAGGACACTGGTAAGACTCCTGTGTCCAATATCAGAATAATCTGAGTTCAATTCCCAGCTCCAGCTGCTGACTCCGGCTTTCCACCAATGCGGATTCTGGGAGGCAGTGTTGATGGCTCCTGCCGCCCACGTCAGAGACCTGGATTGAGTTTCTGGCTCCCAGTCGGGGCCGTTGCAGGCACTGAGGAGTGCACCAGCAGACAGGAGTGAGCTCGCGCTCGCTGTCTCTTGTAAATATATTTTTGGAAGGTGTTTTTGAAGGCCAAGTTTATGCCATGTGAACTGTAAGATCTCCTGCAGCAGATAGGGGAGCTCCAGGCTCTGAGCCCAGCTGATAAGCAACTCCCAGGCCCAAGGAGCACAGCTTGGGGCCCTGGCTGTGTGCGGGAGCCTTGTCTGTGATAAGGACTTGCTCTCAGGTGGCAGGGCCATGCACACCAGGACACAGCAACAGTCTATGGTCAAGTCTGTTCCAGCAGCTCCTGCCTGAAGGCACAAAGTCAGCCACCATGCGCCTGCATCCCTCTTCCCACCTTGCCAGCTTACAGACAGGAGGCAGGGGCCACTCACGACCTCCCAGACACCCATCTCTGCCCTTGACCTTTGGCGTGCGTTTCCAAAGTCCTATCAAGTCCTTTGGGCCAGGCCTTGGGCTGGGTGTTGGGTTCACGCAGAGGCTACTCGCCAGTCCCTAGCTACCCCTGCCAGCTCTGGAGGCCTGCGGGGAGAGGGATGAGTCAGAGAAGGTGGGCGCCCATGAGAGAGACCCACACCGCAGCTGGGGCCCAGGGGTGAGGTCAGGGCTGAAGCCGAGGATATGGGTGCACACGGGCAGCGCAGGCAAGTCTCGTCCGGGCTGCTTCATGAATTAACTGCTCGGTGCCACTGGAGTATAAGAAAACTAAATATTTATTTGCTTCATATTTACAAAGGGAGGAAGGAGATGGCAGGAGACCCCGTATTGCACCCCTCCCCCCGACACACACACACAACTGGCTGACCAGGCCCTTGCGAGGCACAGGAGGCAGACACGACTGGAAGGGACAGGATTTATGTTGCATACTTGAACTACAGCGAGTGTGAGACTGGTCCTATTTACAGGGCAGAAACTACAGGTGGAGTGTGGGGGCAGCAGAGCAGGCACCTGAGTCCCGGCCGCAGGGCGCTCTGCTCGCCGCCTGCCCCACCTCTCCCAGAGGCATCGCTGGGGCCCCGCGGGGGTTCTCCAGGGGGGAACGGGGCCCGCTCACATGATGCTCGCCGGGGTGAAGACGGGGCCCACACACAAGGTGTCTGTGATCTCCCAGCCGCAGGACAGAGGCTTGCACACGCCCTCGGCGTCCTCCTCCTGGTCCGCGGGCAGCAGCTGCCCTCGCAGCGCTTCCCTGGGGGCGAGAGGGGTGCTGGGGGCCGTGGGCCTGGGCACCTGGCCGGCGGGGGGTGGGGGCACCTGCTGACACCTGCCCACCTTCCCACACTGCCCCCTTCCACCTCCACCACCACCCACAAAGGAGAAGGAAGTGCATTGATTGAGCACTGACTGTGTGCCAGATGTGCTAGGCACTTGACTTAACGTTATCTAACGGTGGCCTCCCCCACACCCCACCAGGGGACATTTTGCTGCTGAGAAAAATGAGACCCGGAGAGGAGGGGCCTTCCCAGAGCACATCTCTAGCAGGTGGTGGAATGTGAACCCAACAATCACACTCCAAAGTCCGTATCCTTGCACCCCAGGCTTAGGGCCTGAAAAACATCATCTCCTGCCCCCCCGCCCACTCCCACAAACCATTCCTCCCCCTGCGTGCCCTCGTTAATAAATGGCTCCACCTTCTGATCAGCTGTGGGGGCTGCCCTTGGGGATCTTGTCCCTGCTCCCACCAGAAGCCCCAACAGACATCCTTGCATGGATGCACTGGTCTCCGCTCCCACTGACATCCCCACGTGGTCTTCCGGCCTGCTCACGTTCCCTCCCTGGCCCATGACATCTCCCCAAAGGGCAAAGCCCCGCTCCAGAGCTTTGAGCAGCTCCCTAGGTGCTGGAGCCCCTACCCTCCCAGACTGGCACTGTCCTCCCTGCTCCCCTGTTCCTGCAGGCCAGTGACACCCCCTTGCCTGTCGGGTGCTGCTTTCCGAGGGGCGGCCCTGAGTGCCCCTCCCCAGCTCACTGTCTCCCCCTCCCTGTGGCCCTGTCACTCTCTGCCTGCATCTGGGTGCAGCTTTGCGCCACAGCTGACTGCCTGCTGTTGTAGATGCTCCAGTGGCCCCGAGGCCGGGCACAGAGCCAGGCACTAAAGCGTTTGCAGGAATACAAGTTGATAAGGGAAACGTCTAGACTTACGCATTTCAACGCATCAACATTTTGGGGTCTTAGTGATGGATGCAGCTGACAAACCCACACCCTTAACCCCCTGTCACTCAACCTTCAAGGCAACCCCAGACCTAGCCCCGCTTCCCTCTCCAGTCACAACCAGCCCCTTAGTGCCTCCAGCACACATCTGGGCTCCGTTCCTCCTGCCGGCAGAACCCTGCCCATGCCCTCCTGCCAGCTGACTCCCGCTTCCTCCGGGAGGGAGGGCTCAGAGCTTCCACCCTGTGTCCGAGTACCTGGGCCCCTGCAACCACAGGGGAGACCTGGATGAAGCTCCTGGCTCCTGGCTTCAGCCTGGCCCCAGCCCTGGCCTTTGCAGACTTTTAGGCACCAGTTCCAAACCCAGCTGCTCTACTTCTGATCCAGCTCCCTGTTAATGTGCCCTGAAAGGCAGCAGAGGATGGCCCAGGTCCTTGGGTCCCTGCACCCACGTGGGAGATCAGAAAAAAAAAAATCCTGGCTCCTGGCTTCAGCCTGGCCCAGCCCCAGCTGTTGCAGCCATTTGGGGAGTGAACCAGCAGATGGAAGACCTCTCTCTCTCTCTCTCTCTCTCTCTCTGTAACTGTACCTTTCAAATAAATCTTTTTTAAAAATAAAAAATAAGTACATGTATACACATCTTATACGTGATTAATGAACATGTTTCGACTGGGGTCCCAGCCCCAAGAAATCTCATTACAGATAGGCAAATATTCCAAAATCCAAAATAAGCCCCGATCCAAAGCCCAGCTGGCCCTCAGCCTTTGGAACAGGGGATACCTGGCCTGGATCGTGAGTGCCTGTCTGCCCCTCGGTGTCTCTCACAGGGCCGTGAGCTCCTCCGGGGATGCTCAGCCTCACTCACGGCCACAGCCAGAGGCCAAGCCCAGGCCTCTCCTGGACTCAGCAGCCAAGAGCTACTTGTCAAACTGGATGACACGGAAGCAGGGTCCCAGATCTCAGCTTCCCCCAGGCTGCTTCTGCACACCGTGCCCCCTGCCCCCCAGTTCTTACCAAGCCACCCGGGACATGGCATAGGTGATGCGACAGGCCTGGGTCCCCTTGAGGAGGGAACCCGTGCCAATGGTGTAGGCGCCCATGTTGTCAAAGACCAGCCAGTCCCCTACGTGTAGTTGTGGCAGCCACAGGCCCTCGGCCACGCAGTCACAGCCCTCGGCCGCCGGGCCCCACAGGCTGCTGCTGTACAGGGGCTGCTCCGCGGATGGTTTCTGTAGGAGAGAGCGATGGCCACATCAGTTCTGCGGGGCAAGCCACAGCCTGAGCACTCCCTCCCTCCAAAGCCTTCCATGGCTCTCGTAGCCACTAGGACAAGGACCGGATAGAAGCCTCCCAGCTCTGCTGCTTCTCTGCATGTGTTGCCTCTTAGACTTGAAAGCTGCCATGCCTTGTCTTCAATCCGGGTCCCAACACTTGCGAGCTGCGTGACCATGGGCAATACCCTCCATCTCTCTGTCCCTCAGTGTATTCATCTGTCACATGGGAACACTAGCGCCTCCCTGAGTGGAGAGCATTTAGAAGTGGGCACAGGTGCAGTGAGCGGGCACTGTGGTCACTGTCTCATTGTCATCGTTGCTGCTGCCCTGTGCTTTGGTCTTCTCTGGCCACTTCCCCAGACCTCCACCCTCAAGCCCAGCCCAGCCCAGCTCCCTATGCTGGGAAGCCCTCCCCGAGCCCTTCATTCTGCGGCAGGCCCAGGGGCAGGAGCCAGAAGTGCCCAGGCGGGTGGGATGCAGCCCCTCTCGGGCTCTGACTCTGGCATGGAGGACAGGTGGAGGTCACAGAAGACGTGTCGGGGCAGACGTGACTGCTCCCATCGCAGGGAGCCCAGGCTCCGGGAGGTGCAGTGACTTTACCAATGTAAAATCTACCTTGTATTCTTAAATGAATTCCAAATCCAGAGAAGAAACCTGTAACACAGGTCATCTGGGGGCAATCAAGAGCTCAGTGCCATTTGTCGTGGTGCCAGGTCCTGCCTGGCAGTGCTAGAGGGGAGTCAGCACTCAAAGATGGGCGTGAGAGCACCCCGACTGTGCCCCTCACAGCCCCCCACTGCAGTCCTGTGACCCCAGTCGCTCTGGATTTCCCCGAGAAATCCCTGCTGGCTCCCCCGCCCCACTGCAGTCCCCAGGCTGTTCCTCGAGGCCCCCGATCTGCCAACTCCTATTTCTCCATCTGATCCCAGGCAGCCTCGGGGAAGCCTCTCCTGAGGTTCCATGCTCCCCAACTTGGCTTTCACAGCATTTGCCATGTTTTTTATTTGAAAGGCAGAGTTATGGAGAGAGAAGGAGAGAGAGAGAGAGAGAGAGATCTTCCATCTATACTGGCTCACTCCCCAAATGGTTGTAACTGTCAGGGCTGGGCCAGGCTGAAACCAGGAGCCCAGAACTCCATATGGGTCTCCCATGTGGGTGCAGGGGCCCAAGAACTTGTTCCATCCTCTGCTGCTTTCCCAGGCGCATTAGCAGGAAGCTGGATCAGAAATGGAGCAGCCAGGACTTGAACCAGAGCCCATATGGGATGCTGGTGTCACAGGCAGCGGCTTAACCCACAGCACCACAATGTCAGCCCTGATATTTACCATTCTCATAATTCAATATTTGTGAAACACCTGCTCAGGCCTGACTTCATTATCAGACCATAAACCCCTCACGCGCACGGGTCAGCAGGGCTCATTCACCCCAGCTCCTCCGTGCCTGGCAATCTGGCAGCCAGGGGGTGCTCATGTACTCTTTGTTTTAAATGACAGAATAAAAGACATGAGTGATAAGAACAAGAAAGAAAAGGATATAAATAAAAGAGCCTAGCCTTTCTCTGAAGGGAGGAAGGAACCTCCACTGTGATATGGCCTTGACTAAACAAATTCAGAGTTGGTGAACTCAAGGGGCTTCCATAGCCTAGACAGCTCATAGCAAGAGTCTCGGGTGATTGCTGACGTCATAAATAAGAGTGCCAATTGTTAAATCAACAACGGGAGTCACTGGGTTCATGCTCCCCATGCAGGATCTCTGTCCTCAATATGTTTATCTATGAAACTCAAAAACAACACTACTAGTCGAACAATACCCTATACCTGGTTCGGTTGTGTGAGTGCAACCTGTTGAAATCCCTGCTTAGTATATACTAAATTGATCTTCGGTATATGAAGGTAACTGAAAATGAAACGTGATGAAGGGCAGGATGGGAGAGGAAGTGGGTGAGGGGAGGGCCACGGGAGGGAGGGAGGTCGGGGGGAAAAAAATAAAATAGAAAAATAAATAAATAAATAAAAGAGCCTAGAAAAAGGCAATGGAGAAAAAATTGGGAAAGAAAGGTCACAGATTCCATAAAATAACATGCAGACATTTGGCCCGAAAAAAGCATGAATAAGCTATTCATCCCATTAATAAACAAAAACACACACATCTTATTAAAATCAATAATGAAAAGGATCCTGAAGCCATGATTCATTCAGTCAGTACTTATTGAGCACCTGCTGTATTCCCAGATCTAGGAGCTGGGACAGAGCAGGGAGCACAGTGCTCCAGAGGTTCGTGCTCCAGGCCAGAGAGACAAGTGTGTCCTGTTTATTTAACATTCTCCAGGGCGGCTTTGTGGTCCGCTGGGTCAAACGGTAGCTTGCAACTGCGACCCGTATGGAAATGCAAGTTGGAGCCCCAGTTACTCTGCTTCCAGTCTGGTCCCCTGCTAACGCTCCTGGGAAGCAGCAGATGGTGGTTCAAGTGCTTGGGTCCCTGTCACCCACAAAGAAGACCCAGCTGGGGCCCCCTGACTCTTGGCTTCAGCCTGGCCCAGCCCTGACTACTGCGGCCATTTTGGGAGTGAACCAGCAAATGGAAAACCTCTCTGTAACTCTGCCTCTTAAATAAATAAATAAAATCTTAAAAATAATACTTTGCTATTTTTTACAGATGTGGTGTATGGCATGCTTTATAAATGTATCCACAAGGGGCTGGCACCATGGCTCACTTGGTTAATCCTCCGCCTGTGGTGCCAGCATCCCATATGGGTGCTGGTTCTAGTCCCGGTTGCTTCTCTTCCAGTCCAGCTCTCTGCTGTGGCCCGGGAGGGCATTGGAGGATAGCCCAAGTGCTTGGGCACTTGCACCCGTGTGGGAGACCAATAAGAAGCACCTGGCTCCTGGCTTCAGATCGGCACAGCGCGCCAGCCGTAGCAGCCATTTGGGGGGTGAACCAATGGAAGGAAGACCTTTCTCTCTGTCTCTCTCTCTGTCTAAAAACTCTGTCAATTTTTTTTTTTGACAGGCAGAGTGGATAGTGAGAGAGAGAGAGAGGAAAGGTCTTCCTTTGCCGTTGGTTCACCCTCCAATGGCCACCATGGCTGGCGCGCTGCGGCCAGCGCACCGCGCTGATCCGAAGGCAGGAGCCAGGTGCTTCTCCTGGTCTCCCATGGGGTGCAGGGCCCAAGCACTTGGGCCATCCTCCACTGCACTCCCGGGCCACAGCAGAGAGCTGGCCTGGAAGAGGGGCAACCAGGAAAGAATCCGGTGCCCCGACCGGGACTAGAACCCGGTGTGCTGGCGCCGCTAGGTGGAGGATTAGCCTAGTGAGCCGCGGCGCTGGCCACTACCTGTCAAATTTTAAAAAATGTATCCACAAGGATTGTTGAGAAAATGGGAGTTAAATGTTCATCCACCATGAATGCAAAGGCACCCTTGGTGATAAGTTAGCACGCACTCACTTCTCCATAGAGGGATAAATACAAAGTAGGTGGAAAAATTTTTTGAAACTTCATAAGAATAAAGTGATTTGTAAAGTCACTATTTAAAAAAGAAAAAAAGTACAAATCTGCAAGATAAATATTCCAAAAGCACATGTCAAGCTTGTGAATCTCAGCTGGCGGCACGCGTGGTAAGTGCGTGGAAAAGACAAGGTCTGTACAGGAGCCCGATGCCAGTCAGCCAGCTGCAAGCCCTCTGAGGGGGCGGGGCTTCCTGGTCTACAGCACATCCACCATGCCTTCACACCCATCTGGGAGGCAGTTGGCAAGGCTGCAAACTCCCATTTTACAGATGAGAAAACTCAGAGGAAGAGACCCTCCCCAGGTTCTGCAGGGGGTTGGTAGCAGGGCTCTGAGCTGTCCCAGACAAGGGACCTCCTAGCAGCTCCCCACAGATCCACGGAACACAGGGCTCAAACCTACAAAAGACAGCTGGGCCTGAGGCCAGCATGGTGGCATGGTGGGTAAAGCCGCTACCTGCGGCGCCAGCATCCGATATAGGCGCCAGTTTGTGTCCCAGCTGCTCCACTTCCAATCCAGCTCCCTGCCAATGCCTGGGAAAAGCGGCAGAAGATGGCCCAAGTGAAAAAATGAGATGAATAAGAGCAATACACAAACAGGGTAGGGGCACAGAAGTAAACCCCAATGGTCAAAATCTCCTTCGTGAACAGAGACAAAAATCTGACACGAAACCTCAGCTAACCAAATTCAAACTTATACTCAACAAGCTTCAGTGATCAATAATTGTAAATGGAAGGCAGGAAGAGCAAAGTCAATTACTGCCTTCATCATAATACACAAAAAATATAGATCTGTGATTCAAATATAATTTTCCCAGTCCATGTTAACAGCCTGTAGCATCCATATTTGATTAAAACTGCAGAGAAGGGGCCGATGCTGTGGCTCAATTGGTTAATCCTCCACCTGCAGTGCCAGCATCCCATATGGGTGCTGGTTCTAGTCCCGGATGCTTCTCTTCCAGTCCAGCTCTCTGCTGTGGCCCGGGAGGGCATTGGAGGATGGACCAGGTGCTTGGGCACCTGCACCCATGTGGGAGACCAGGAAGAAGCACCTGGCTCCTGGCTTCAGATCGGTGCAGCACCAGCCGTGGCAGCCATTTGGGGAATGAACCAAAGGAAGGAAGACCTTTCTCTCTGTCTCTCACTGTCTATAACTCTACCTGTCAAATTAAGCATACAAGAAACGAAAAAAAGAAGGACAAATTTCGGGGCCGTCGCTATGGCACAGCAGGTTAACGCCCTGGCCTGAAGCGCCGGCATTCCATAGGGGCACTGGTTCTACTCCCGGCTGCTCCACTTCCTATCTAGCTCTCTGCTGTGGCCTGGGAAAGCAGTAGAGGATGGCCCAAGTCCTTGGGACCCTGCACCCATGTGGGAGACCCAGGAAGAGCTCCTGCTTTGGATAAGTCTTTTGCTAATAATTCTATTGGGTTGCTTTTTCCTAATTTTCT